GTTGGTTCCGCTATGAGAATCCTTTGAACATTCAAAACCCTTTGAACTATCCTGATAAAGAAATTGTGACGTACACGCCGACCGAGGAGAAGATCGTTGCAAACCTGAAGCAGCATAATGAAGAGCTTCCAAAAATTCAAAAATGCAATTGATGAGTGATCACATCAATAGAGCTTATCATACATTTTGATTTTTCTTTTACAACAATTGACTACGTTGATCTTGAGATCAAGTAAAAAGTCCATGATTTATTTCAACTCATGTTGCAAATGTACATAAGGAGTACTCATTGTGATGAACTAGCAAGATTTTAGACATTTGATGTTCCTATAACATGTGAATTTATTTTTCTAACCACTAAGGTAGGTTCGTCATCTTCTAAACTTTACTCCATTCTTATAACAATGTAAATGATTTCAGCTTTAGAAGAGGATTTTTTTGTATCTCACGTTATTTTGAATTTTGGATCTCAATCCTCTAACAAAATTCTTTGTGAGCATTGCTCTTATCCCTAACATTCTGTGATTCATTTTGTCCCCACACTTTCTCAACACCACGTAAAATCTTGATTCGAACTTTCTAGTTTTTTCAACATGGGATCTCATCTTCTCATTGTGCCATTGCTTCAAGAAGGTGATTTCTTATATAAAATTTTCATAAATTTCATTGGTAAGAAAATTTTCAATAATGTTCTTCATTGATCTTTCCTACTTATTCTCCTTCACGTGCTCCCTCTTATATTTCTTGAATCCTCCAAAAAGTATGGCAAAAGCATAATCCACTTGTACTTTTTTGAATCATTATTTCCTATGCAAATTTGCTTAAAATCTCTAATAAAATTTTCTTCATCTTCACTTTTCTCTCCCATAAAACACCCAAGTATTTCCATTCCTACCTGTTATTTTTATTTTGATCTATTGAAAATTTATAGATAACTTCCTAATACAACACAAACAACACTAACTATATCCTTGAATATTTTATCAACGACAAAATATTCAAGTATATTTATATCGTAAACACATAATGATTCTTAACTTCATCAAAATTTTCACAATCATCAAAATGATGATCTCCATCTTCGGTTGCAGTTTGAGCCAACCGTGATCAACTTCTTCATTTTTGCACTTTGCTTGCCATCCGGATCTTCCACAAATGATTTAAGAAGTTCATTTAGTTTGTTCCATTCATAATTCATCAATAGTCTAATAATTTCACATGTCTCATAATACATCTTGAGAATTGTGTGGTGAAGATGATCTTAAATGAAGTTTCAACTATCTCAAGTTTCTTCGATTCCTCAAACTCCAATATTTGTTACGCAAAGATCAACTAATAACTTTGTGTTCTTTCTCTTCACAATATAAGGAGTTTTGCATTTGAATTTTGGAAATTAACTAACTATTCTCTCTTCAAACATTGTTTTGAATTCACTCATGTTAGAATTTAGGTACACTATAAAAACCAAATCTTGAGGTACTTTAGATCATCTAATCTTTCAACTCACTTATATATTCAAGTTTTCATATGGTGAAAAAAAATCAAAATGTTTCTTCCAAAACATTCTATATGACCAAAAACTATAGATATCTAAACCACAAAGAGTTTTCTCAAATCTTATTTTTGTACCTTCTAGACTTTAGAAGATCATAACTTATTCTTCCAACGTGAGATTTTGATGAACTTTTGATCACTATGTACCTTATCTTCTTGTCTACAATTGTTAAAAAAAGATTAATTTGAATAAACAAAGGATCATTACTCTCCCGCATGTCTTTCATTCTCTTGTTTTTCAACGTCAATATCATATGTCCTTTCATTGTCATCTTCTATGGAGCAAACATATCTATGCCCTACTTAAACCTTCTAGAACTTATCTTGTCCCAATAAAACATATTGGCAACATGTATTTTATATTTAAACAGAGTGTGATAATACAAAGGGAGAACTTATAAAATGATGAGCTAATCAAGATTAATGCTTAACTCAAACTTGCTTATATCTTAACAAATGTGATTCTTTTTGGAAAAATTCACGATATCTTGCCACATTGGAGATTTTGCATATGTATGCAACTAAAGTAGAATAGCAATTATGTTATTTATATATATGATTGAATTGAACATGTTTTAAGTATTTTATACTCTTCTAGTATTTTTTATACTATGTTTTATTTTCCGATTATTTTATAATTCAATTTAGTTTACAAAGAACTCTATGTAAGATTTTTGTATACTTTTCCTACAGGTTATTGAAGTTATAATCCTCAAAACATGAATCAAAGAGAAAATTTTTAATATTTCATTTTGGTTTTGATTATTTTTGGCTTATTTAGTTATATTGAATAAGATTTATTAGCTTGCCAGTATATAGGAGAGATGGTGGTAGATCTGTAACTTTAATCTCATTAGGTCTTTAATGAAAAAGTGTTTGTGATGTGTAGATGTAGCTGTGCAGAGACAATCTATTGTAATATGTTGTCATCGTAAATGTTAATCTTGATCTACAACTCTAGCAAGTATAAATTTAAATCTAACAAAATACATCAAGTTTTAGAAATAGACCTTAAATTTAATCTGAAAGCAAAATTTGGAAAAAAAATCATTTGATCCTGATTTGAAATGTATCCACGTTAACAAGTTGAAAAAGCTACTAAAAAAATACCTTCATGGTTAGAAAAAATATTAATGAAACCTTCTCTAAACTTTTACATTTTGGTGATTTTTTTTGTTGAATAATATGTTATTTTTTGCATCTTCATGAGTTTCTAATGAAATAAGGTGTATACTGAAGCTTCCAACAGACTTATATGATAAACCTACATTGAAAGCAACTTAATAGCTTGATTCAAACAATTAAGTCGATGAATGTTTTTTGGAGTTAAAAAACGTCAAATGTTTTTTATCACTTGTGTTTGATATGAAAATAAGTATGAAATAAATTTTTGACTGATTTAGTCTATGACTCTAATAACCACTCCGTTTGACGTTCTAAACCGTGAATGAAGATGTTCAAGTGCAAACTATGATATCCAGAAGATATCCTTCATTTAATGTGACTCCAGGTTTATATGTCTTTATTACACTATACTCAGAGGAGTTTCTACTATCTTCATTCACGTTGATTTATCACGAAATTTCATTGCCTAAGTGACATGAATCATTTGACTTACTTACATGACTCTTCGACATTTTTATTTTCTGTAAGATGATAGTTTATTTGGCGCTTTCAACTAGTAGCTAAGCCATTTTATAACAGAAACATACATGTATGTGCAGATATTATATGCTGAAGAGCGTGTGGATCGGTGATTAATTTAATAATCAAGTAATTTTAGCATCTCGCCAGATCTGACTTCCTATTTCTTGATGGCTTAGTTTCATTATTTAGATGATCAAGAGTGGTATTTGTGTACATTGTCAAATGACTATCTTGTTGACTGGTCAATTTTACATCAATAAGAAAGTTGACGCTCTATACATTACATCAACACTCGACATAGCTTATTGCAACCAACTCAGGAGGAGCAGCTCATTTGTGAAAATCTATTTCTTCCCATCGTTTTTCATACACATGTGGTCCCTCTTCTCAGAATGGAAATCTGAACGCCACGACAGGATTGCAGTCTTCTCAGCTGGTACTCATGGAGATAATATATATGACATGATTACCACCCTATAAAATAACTTTATACCCATAAGAATTAAGGCCCACATCAACTTTTCGTCAAGCAACGAGTCATAAATATTATTGATTGTGAGGTTGTCCATCATCCTTTCCATATTGCACACCTCACTGTTGTCACATAGATATGATTTCATATGGAATTGATGAGCATGATCTCATCTATCATGGTGAAGAGCATGTGTGTATATACATTAAATGCCGCATGTGCATATTTGGCAAGACCAAAAGCACATATGTCTCAGTGACAGAAGTGATTTCCTCTCAAGTCTCGGAGAGAGGTAAACTCTGTGACATCGTGATAATCGATTTGAGCCAACATATTCAAGAGTATATTGCAGCACGTGGCCATGACAGATGAAAAAATTTCAATGTGCCATGAAACGTATTGTCATTCTCATGAAATGACTGCGAAGCTGAATCCAAGAGCGAAGATATGCAGACATAGAGTCTTGGATATGTATTGGTATTTATCCTCTTCGCTAGGGTGATGTCACACTAGATGACATGAGGATTTTCATATTAGATATGAGATTCCTCATGTCATTGTGAGAGACTGTATGCTACTGTATCACACATGTGGTAACCTTGTCGTAAAGAATATCCTAGGCACGTCACTACCAAGGCAGTAACTATTTGTTGTAAATACGTAGACGTGAATTCACTCCGCAGAATATATCAGGAAGATTCACACAACACGAGAAGCTTGTTTGTGACGCACGGTGACTATATGATGATTTGCATGCACGGGATATTGTTGGAGCAATATGCAGATCTTTCATGAAAGGCAATAGAACACTCTCTTCCCCCATTGCCTCGGGGCTTGGTTTCCTTTACGTCTTCGGGCTTGGCTTTCTGTCATTTGCCATGGATTTGACCATATTTCTTTTCATCTCATGAGTCGTCATTTTTTCTCTGTTCTTCTTGAGTGTACGAAATTTAAACGCTGCCCAGGACCCACCAGAGCATGAGACGCTTCTTCTGTCCGGAATCTTTTTCTCTTTCAGTTCCTTCATGCACCTGCATTGCCTTGCTTAGAACTAGAAGGGGTTCTGACACATGACTGTTTCGAGCTAGGCAATTGCGCACAGCTAGCTTCGCACCATCAATACCTTCTTCGAGACTCTCCGTTGACCATTCGGTCCGAAAGTTCTGAGCTGCAGCCAATTGAGAGGTTGAATCAGTGACACTGTGGAAACGAAGCAATTTGAGTGGTTAATTACAGACAATGAATTCGCAAAAATGAATGAGATGAGCATCTGGACCTGAATTTGACAGTGCAGTAACACCCTCGCAGTCTTTCTTCACCTACTCAAAAGAAGCGTCATTTGTTGTTCTGCATACGTACACCAGTCATCTCTCGAGCTGCCCAACGCACTGCAAGCAACAAGCCTTGACATATATTGAAACAGAACTGTGTCGACCTTTACAGAAGCAGCGAACATGGCAGCGATAATATGTGTGAGCGACATCGCAGCCTTGAAGGGCAAGAGACTCGCAGCTCTCCCATCTAAACACTCATGCGCGTGGAATCCAAGGCTTCTCGTTTGCTGTCAAGTTAATAAAGACAGCAGCAGCAATCCATTTAGTGGGCTAAAAGATTCAGTAGACAAGGCCACGAAGATTTCAATCAATAAGGAGGACATTCTTCGCAAGCAGGAGCAGCAGCAAACTGAGAAACAGTCCGTGTTTGGCGCTGTCCCAAAGTCGAGTTCTTTTTGTCCCCGGCCAGAACTTGATAGACGCCCCGATATTGGATCCCGATCGTTTGGAAGTTTGCTCACATTCGATGGAGCTGCGCCAGAGACTATCAACGGTCGACTGGTGAGTGTACTAGTATATTAGTGCAACTCCACCATGCACGAGTAGAATAATTCTCCCTTCAGTTTCTATCATGCTGCATATTATTTCTAGTATTGACATTCCCTGCGTAGCTTGTGGCATGATATGATTTCACAGTGGTTCTTACCTCCCTACAGGTGCAGTGCCAGCAATGTGTATGTTGTTTCTAGTTTCATGTTGCATGGAACGTGCAAGGGTCCATGAATTAATATAACAGAAGAAGCGCGATGAGGTCTCTTTTGCTCAAAATTACATTTTCTTGCAGGCAATGCTTGGATTTGTGTGGGCGCTATCTGCCGAGAAAGCCACTGGTCTGACGGTGGTGGAGCAAATCTTCAACCCAGGAACCTCTGGCTTAGTTTTCTTCATCGGAGCAATTCAGATCTTCACTTACGCATCCCTGATTCCATTCCTGCATGGAGAATCGACAGACGGCAGGAGCTGGGGTCCGTTCACTGCCCGAGCGGAGCGCTGGAACGGGCGACTGGCCATGATTGGGTTCGCTGCTTTGATCATCGACGAGTTAATTCACCAGGGACCTCTCATACAGTAAAAGGCCATTGCGAACACATGTTACCTGAATACTAATTTAAACATCCCTGTAGTTGTAATTTCTTTCGAGATGGAATCCGTCTGTAAAAATTCAAGTACGTAGTATTCGGGCACATGACGGATAGAGTAGAAAAGCTATCCCCTTCTTATTTAATTCTTCTTTTCCTTGTGGCTAGTTGTCTGTCCAGGATTGAACCCTAAACGGTCGCGCGTATCACATATCATTGCGTTTTCTCTTACCGGGTTCTTTGAAGATTCATTCGTTTGTTCATTCGTGGCAGGATGCGTCACTCTGGGTAGTTTCTGTGAGGCATATGCTTTTGTACATTTATATAAGATTCGGACTTGACGACTACACTCACGAGTACAATTATGTTTCATGTGCGAACTGCACAATTTGCTTCTTCTTTTGTATCTCAATACAACGCTTTGGCTTCTGCAACGAACATGAATATCTAGTGTTTTCTTAAAGTCCAGCTAAAATAGCCGGAATTGTTTAAATATTCGTAGCACTTTATTTTGTTGGACAGTGATGTTGATGCCGGAAAAGCTGCAGCTAATCCAGGTCGATGAATGCGAAGAGGAATAAGAACATTAGTTCGAAGATCCTTATATATATCTGAAGCTGGACAGGAAGTGGCACTTTTGTTTTTCCTAGCAGCTATGTTAACAAATTCTTAAGGTCTGGGTATCGGATGATGTTTGATTTGGAAGGGAGACAAGAGCGATGTGCTGATTTGGAGTGCAATTGTAAGATTCATAGATTACATCAATCTTACTGCAGATTGTTCACAGGAGTTCAGAAGAATAGTCATGGGTGTGCATATGGAAATCATCCCGAGCACATCTAACCCCACCCCAGCATCATGTGACATTGAGATGTGATTGACTCTTCGACAAGGAACTGATTAATATAGCAAAAGGATGGGAAGAATGTGAACAACTCTTTTCCACTATCTTCCGATTTACATTATATTACCATAGCATGGCGGCCACTTTTAATATGGATGAACATGGAACTGTAATCGTGGGAAATTGTAAATTGTGAATCTTCTCAGAGAACTATTTGAGTAATCTGAAAATCGGTCCGACCTTTGGGGGAAATTCCATGAGTACAATTTCATGGCATGTACACATCGACATTGTCGCGTATCCAAGATTTTTGAAGAAGAGGATGAGTAAGCGTGATGCAAATAGAAGTAGCTAGTTATCTCACGTACTTTGTGAGCTAAGTCCGGAGACTGGAGACATTTTCTGAACGTCCGCAAAGATGGTCCTTGAATACTTTTAAAAAACTCATAATACTTCAGATTAAATAGATGACTGTTACATTTGACGGTTATAATTATAAGCATTGAGATTAAATTTTCTCGTCATGATATATCTTTAAAAATGGAAAAACCCATGAGTTCGTTGACCCATTGTCATTTCCAAGTTTTCAATGCCGGAGATGACCTAGGGACAAAAAAGTTCTACAAGATCTGGCTTGCTCTCACATTGGTTGTACTCCTTACCAGATTTTGAATTCATTCACGTTTCACAAGAGACTTTTATCAAAATTTACTGACTGAAGGGTAGTGTTTGTAATTTTGTAAGCATATATCTTGAAGTTTCGAGAAATCCTTAGGATCAATTGGTACACTGACTCTGAATTCAGATTTGAAAAATTACTATAGTTAGATAACCCTACGACCTAGAGAACCCACTTTCAGAGCCCATCATCGCCTGTGTTGCATTTATACAGGATATTTCGATATTATGATATCCCATTATGAATGATGGTGAATTAGAATAAAAAGAGAGTAGTAGTGTAATGATGAATTTTCTGGCATTCGGTTCTCATCAATATATTGTTGAAATTTAAGATTCTTTTCAAACTTTGTTGAACACTAAAATCGCCAAAAATGTCCCACGTGATACATCATTGTCACTGATCATCTTGTAAAAAACCTAATCGGAGAAGTCCACGGTACCATGAAGAAACATAAATTTACCGAACGTTTCTTTTGCACTAGGCTCTTTCCGAGATCTTTGAGTTATTTTACAAATAGGGTTAGGATTGCTAGAAATATTAAAAAAATCAAGATGATTATACCAGGTGAGCCAATATACGATGTACAGGCTCTCTGCGAGCAAAGTTTACAACCGTGTAGCTATGAAACATGGGTTTTCTTTTACTGTGAGGCCTAGGGATAGTCCCATTGGAATAGGATGATGCCAGAGGGCCCAGACATCATAAAGGTTACACCATGTCCCTGTAGAGGTTGCGGGTAAATAGCTTCCATCCTTGGCATGAGACAGATCTTCCGTAAAACAGAAATAAACACAACATCCAATTGAAAAAAATTACGGTTATATATTTACAAAGTCATACGCCTTTATCCCCTCTAAATTGCAACAGGGTAGCATTGCACAGCATGAGACAAATCGTGTAAAGAACGCATTGGCTGGATATGATACAGAGGCGGGCATATTATAGTGATTCTTTTCAATGAATGGTCACAGGAATCCTCCTCATGGAGAATCAGGTGTATAATTACTTGTCATACTGAGTCATCCACCTTCAAGAGCCACGATGAGACCAGCTAAATTCTGCTCTAAAACAAGAACGAAGATTTTAACCCGATGATAGTAAACCGTTATCCAAATCTGCATGTAGTATTTTATTGCTCTAAGGTCAACGAGAAACCAATGAGTGGAAACAGAGCCAGAACACTGCTCTTCCAAACGAGACCTTGCGGAATTGCCGAAATTTCAGAACGACGGACGGGAAAAATACGTAATGTAATTGGTTCAGATATATTTGAACAGACGACAACTAGTAATATAGTAGCTCATTGATGGAGCATTTGGACGAAGAGGTCCCATCTAGAATTGGTATGTCCAGAACAAGCGATGGCCGTAAACAGACAACCATTGGCACAAATTCGGTTGTCCTTGCGTCATGGGTCAAGTTCTAGATACCGCCTGACCTTTCAAACTAATGAATTCACTGAATTTTTATATATTGCTTGGACGCTGAGTATTGTCACAGGGTTCTAAAACCGTGCATTCTGCTGAATGGACAAAACTGGCAAAGACTCTGTGGCTGATGGAGGAGTACACCTGGTATGGTAGCACCAGGTGTTTGATTTGGTCAAATTATATGGCACAACCCATGCTTCGTTGAGCTCCTTTGAGCGTGCCTGCATCATGAGTGCTCGGCGTACATTCTCGCTAGCCTATGGCAAAGATCATCCGACATGTGTCGACAACGAGCTACTGGTAAGTTCCTTTTCTTATATAAAACTTGTATTATAATTTTTCTTCCAGCCCTTCACGGCTACACAACCATTCATCTCGAGGTCATACTTGCACAGGGACATGGTCCTTCCCAGCTAGATTCCGTGCGTGTCTCCTTGACAATGTCCTCGACGGTGAAGACAATATCTGGGACTTAATCGTCACTCTGTCAACATCCAGGAATGTCTTCTAAATTCTCTCATCGTTCTGATATTGTAGCTTTCCAGAACTGTTTATCTCTTCCAAACTATTTGTACAGATTTGTAGGCTTGTCAGCATGACCCGATGGAAGCATACCTCGGCCTAACTGCCAAAAATGTTGAGATCAGAGTAGGAATCGGTGACATATTCTCAAGGCACCGACATTCTGTAGCCCAATCGTGATGCTCACTCTTGAGCTCGGACTCAATTCCAAAATATTCGGCCCAAATGATTCGGCATATTATGTCATCCAGATATATGACAAAAATCGGAAAACAGTATCATCAGCATTTCTGAACAGCGACTTCTACGGCCTACAGGCCCTGTGGATCAAACATAATGACGGAGGTCGAGAACTGTGGCGGAAAGAAGAATCGCTGGTCATGTGAAGCAACATTCTTCGCGGGACTTTGACGTCTGCAGTAAAGTTTCCCTCTTGAATTCCATATTTCTCTGTGGATATGGCGACGCCCTTTTACGTCAAGGCTGCTGCTGCTGCTGCGGCTGGGCACGGACTTCGAAGAGTCACTACAAATTTTCGAGCAGCTGGAAAGCTCGGATGGCGAGAGTTGCCAGCCAGCGGGCCCTCCGTTCCGTGATCGAAGAACATCGGACCGAGAAATCGGAGGTGGAGCAGAATTGCCTCAGGCGGAGGAAGCGGAGCAGGGAAGTTGGCTGGACTGCGAGCTGAAATGTCTGAACTGTTGTCACAATCGATCGACTCGGGCGTGGACCCCGCGGGGCCTGGGGCCAGGCCAGCGAATTCGTCCAGCGCTTGAGACAGCGCTCGGGGCCATGAGAGCTCGGTGGAGGTCGGACCTCGATGTGCAGACGGTGGCTGATCGAGGCGTGCGGGAACAAGGCGGAGAATCAATCTCCCGAGGCCGAGGGATTCTCGGCTTGTGTCTGGGTCAACAGAAGTGCTGGTCGCTCTGAGAATCCATGCCAAAGACGGATAGAGCGAGAGAAGAAGTGTCGAAGGAACATAGAGGATGCATCGAGTAGATCGACGGGAATCGATGCGAGCGAGCGAGGGCCGTGAGCTCTGGCGCAGGCGTTTCCGGGAAAGGAAGGGCAACGCAATGTCGCGGACGGGGTGGCGCGAGGGCAGAGCCTCACGGACCGTGAGCCCGTCGTCGCGCGGCCGTGCTGCGCCAGTGAGAGCACTGCTGCACTGCTCGGCGAGGGTCCGGGATCGAGACCGCCAAGAACCATGGCGACATGGCATCGCAGGTCCAGCAGCTGCTGCTGGCGAAGCTTTAAAACGACCGGAGTTGCTCGAGCTCCCCACCTCCTCTCTTTCTCTCTCTCGTCTCCTCTGTGGGAGTGCCATGAGGTTGCTTCTTCCTGCGTGATTGCATGGAGCTCCTCAGTCGGCCTTGATTCGCCTTCTCGAAAAAAATTCGGAAGCATGCTTGAAACACACGAAGTGATTTGTCTGGTCTTTTACATTCTTCAAAATTAAAGCGCTACCGTAGAGGAAATTTGACGAACTTAAAGAGGAGGGTTCGCAGCGATGGAGGGGAAGGACAACGAACTGGGCCGTTTCCAGTCACTTATCGATGAAACGGTGGACTTGGTAAAGAGCTTCTTTTTCTTTGACACATGAAATTGTCTCGTGAAGAATTTCATTCGGACATATCAGAAGAGCAAGCGCGTGCTGCATGTCATGAACGGCAGGCGAAATTTAAGGATCGGGGTGCAAGCATATTCAGCATTTCTAGCTGAAGTGATGTGTAGGACTCTCATCTGACTCGACTGCGTAGGCTGGACTGACGAGCTCGTTTAACGTGTGAATTAGGAACGCGTTCCAATTGAGGAAGTCTTCACTCAGCTGCGATGTTCACCAGAGGGTCTTACCACCGCCGAAGGGGAGGCTCGCATTCAGATCTTCGGTTACAACAAGCTCGAAGAAAAATCGGTGCATACATCCTTCTCTCCTTCATCATTCCGCTTCATAAGATTGTAGAGTATGGCAATTTGAGAGGTGCATCATGTTAGTTCGCTATGTGCGGAGTTTCAGTCATCCCCATGCTCGAATAGAACCACCAGTGTCGGGGAAATTTCAAGGTTTTAAACCTGATGTGTTTACCTGGAATACTGAAGTACAACATTTGTTCAGAAACGGGTCTATTCGGAAAGTTGGCCACAATAGCCACCTTTCACTTTACTGTGGATCTGAGCGACTTTTTTGAGTGCCTACCTTCTTCAATTTCGTTCAAAACCTTAAGATACATCCGTAGAGGAAACCAAATTCAAATAGCAGTAATCATCGTAGCAAATAATGGGCGTGTAAAATAATCGTTCTCGCATGTTGAGCATCTCGCTATAGTCAAGCTTGCAATCTTGGAAAACCTTGACTAATTTCTTCACTCTGAATAATGTACTGCAGGAGAGCAAAATTTTGAAATTCTTGGGTTTCATGTGGAACCCTTTATCATGGGTGATGGAGGCTGCTGCTATTATGGCTATTGCGCTGGCAAATGGAGGCGTAAGCTTGCAAATCACAAGACTGATTTTATCAGTGTTCAGCAGTAATGCAGTAGCGATCTAGAGGACAACCAAACAGCGATGTGTGACGCAAGTGTATTCACTGGTACGTAATGTTCAATGCATGCAGGGCAAGCCTCCAGACTGGCAGGACTTCATCGGTATCTTGACGCTGCTTGTTATCAACTCCACTATAAGTTTCATCGAGGAGAACAACGCAGGAAACGCTGCTGCTTCACTGATGGCTCGGCTGGCACCCAAGACTAAGGTTGAACTTCGCTTACCCTTCCCGTCGTTTCCTTGTCGATATAGGTCGCATTGAGCTGTCACGGGAGGTCTATAATGTTCATTGTGATGTTTTACCTGACTTGCATGCATTGCTGAATGATCAGGTGCTCCGAGATGGGAAGTGGTCTGAACAGGACGCTGTCATTCTTGTGCCGGGAGACATTATCAGCATCAAATTGGGCGACATCGTCCCTGCAGATGCACGTCTTCTCGAAGGAGACCCTTTAAAAATTGATCAAGTAAGTCGACTTCGCCGTCTCGAGCCTTAATGCGACCTCATAAGATGCTATGAGATTATTTCCAGATCGATTTTTAAAGCTTGACCTGGTGGTAATACGTGATTGCAGTCTGCTCTTACGGGAGAATCTCTCCCTGTTACGAAAAAGCCAGGAGACGAGGTCTACTCGGGATCTACTTGCAAGCAAGGAGAACTCGAGGCTGTTGTTATTGCAACTGGTGTTCACAGCTTCTTCGGTAAAGCTGCTCATCTTGTCGACAGCACACATCAAGTTGGTCATTTCCAAAAGGTACAGCTGCACACATCTTGTTTCCAACCGCACCAAGTGATTGTCGTGTCTCCTGTTACGAAATCCTGACGAACTGTTTTAAGACGACCCATGGACACATGCCATTCAAAAATCACCATTTTGAGTTTGATCCCAATGCAGGTGCTTACGGCTATTGGAAATTTCTGCATTGTCTCAATCGCCATTGGGCTTGTGGTGGAGATTATAGTTATGTTCCCAATACAGCGTAGAAAATACCGAGAAGGTATTGATAATCTTCTGGTGCTGCTCATTGGTGGTATTCCCATCGCTATGCCGACTGTGCTGTCTGTCACCATGGCAATTGGATCACACCGCTTGGCTCAACAGGTAATTGGCTACTCTACAGCATTGCTTCAAATAGTTTCGGTTTATTTCCTAGAGTCCGTCTCTTTTCCTTCTCGTTATTCTATGGCTGAATCGTTAAATTAGAGGAAAACAATTATAAACGTGGTGTGAAATTTGGTAAATGCCCTTGCAGGGTGCAATCACCAAGCGAATGACTGCGATAGAAGAAATGGCAGGCATGGATGTTCTCTGCAGCGATAAAACTGGCACTTTGACTCTGAACAAGCTGACGGTGGATAAAAATCTTATCGAGGTCAGAATTCTTACCATGAGTATCCTCAATATCATCTTCCTTTTCGTTCCCTCGTTGTGAGGATATCCGCTTTCTAGTCGTCATCGATTTCTAGTCGCCGCTTTTACTCTCCTGGCGTGTGTGACCATGAAAACCGAAACGTATTGGTGCCTGGATTAGTCCTTACTCAATCCTAATGGCAATGACCGCAGTGCTTTACGAAAGGCGTGGACAAAGACGACGTCGTGTTGTCAGCAGCCAGAGCTGCCAGGACTGAAAATCAAGATGCGATTGATACCGCTATTGTTGGAATGCTGGCTGACCCCAAAGAGGTAATCTTTTTGGGTTGCACTGTCACAGATGCTGAAGAATCGTCACACACATAATTAAAGATGAATCAACTCTTCGTTATGCTCATTTTTTATTCAGTTTCAGGCAGTCAATGTCTATCATATAATTTTAATACGCGGCCTGTAAAAATGAAGGCTCGCGCGGGTATCAAAGAAATCCATTTTCTTCCATTCAACCCTGTTGACAAACGCACGGCGATCACTTATATCGATGAAAGCGACGGAACGTGGCACCGCGCCAGCAAAGGGGCTCCCGAGGAAGTAAGTTCGGGTTTCTGCAAGTTTCGTCTTTGAATGTTGCCTTCATGTTCTCAACGATATGACGCTGGAATAACTCCTGCATGTGAATGCAAATGCAGATTCTGCATATGGCCCATAACTCGGAGCAAATCTCTTCGAGAGTCCATGCAGTCATCGACAAGTTCGCTGAGCGAGGGCTTCGATCACTGGCTGTTGCAAGACAGGCAAGTAATGTAAACTGCTAATATCATATGGCGTATAGAAATTTTCGGTGTTGGTATTTCAGCATTGGATGTTACCAGCTTTCAATCTGAACCTCTTAATTAATGGATTCATCCAGGAAGTGCCAGAAAAATCGAAGGAGAGTCCAGGAGGCCCTTGGGAATTTCTTGGAGTTCTTCCACTCTTTGATCCCCCTCGTCACGACAGTGCTGAGACCATTCGTCAAGCTCTGAATTTAGGAGTAAATGTGAAAATGATTACAGGTAATGATGATGCTGAATTATGCTTTACTGATGCCGAATGGGTGATTACAGAATTTCTGGAAATGTTCCTCGTACCTAAGAAACTGACCTTAGCTGTTCAATCTCTTCAGGCGACCAGCTTGCTATTGCCAAGGAGACTGGCCGACGTCTAGGAATGGGAGTAAACATGTATCCATCGTCAGCTCTATTAGGACAGCACAAAGATGACTCTATGGCTGTCCTTCCCATTGACGAACTCATTGAGAACGCTGATGGATTCGCCGGAGTCTTTCCTGGTAAGTCTTTCCACTCAAGGGAGAAAGCATTTGATAAAATGTAGTGGTTACTTTGGTTTACCCAACAATGCACGCTTACTTTCCAAATGAAGCAGAACCTGACTAGAACCCGACTTTACCCCATGTGCAGAACACAAGTATGAGATTGTAAAAAGGTTGCAAGAAAAGAAACACATTTGCGGTATGACTGGAGATGGTGTGAACGATGCACCTGCCTTAAAAAAAGCAGATATTGGTATCGCCGTTGCGGATGCAACGGATGCGGCTAGAAGTGCTTCAGATATAGTTCTCACTGAACCTGGACTGAGCGTCATCATCAGTGCAGTTCTTACAAGCCGTGCCATTTTCCAAAGGATGAAGAATTACACCGTAAGTACGCGCGTGTGTTCATTTCCTTCTGCAAATGGTCTTTCAAACGCTGGAGTAATTCAAGAGAGCTTGATTTGTTCGATGAAGTAAATATAGTATAACTTCATGACAAATTTGTTCAAAAGGAATTGAACAGCTTGATACGTAACATAAACTGTTCAATAGTCGGTTGAGATTATCTATAGGGTCTTACAAGCGTCTTACTCGTCAAGTCATCAACCTAATGCCAAGATCATGTATGTGAACAGATATACGCAGTATCGATCACCATTCGTATCGTGGTAAGTGAAAATTGATCTGATTTTCAAGCTTAGTAAATGCAGTAACTCTAGCAATTTTCTCCATTCATTCCAGTGAATTCTTGTGCTTATCTAGTTATTTTATTTCAAACCTTCGAATTAAGAATGCGTATAAATAAGACTTTCAACTGATCCCATGTTGAGTATATGTCTGCAGCTTGGCTTTTTGCTGATGTGCTTGATATGGAGATTCAACTTCTCTCCGTTCATGGTTCTGATCATAGCTATCCTGAACGACGGTATGTACAAGCGTATTCTTCAAACAACAATTTCACGAACCACAGATTAATATGATTTCCATCTAGACGTAGCCAAATGCACAGTGAAATATTTTACAAATATTTCACTCTCAGGTTTTAGTAACCCGGAGAGTTGGAGATGCACATTTTTTCTCGACCATTTCTGAGGTGCTTATTTATGAAGGCTTATTCGCTAATCTAATCTTCTTGATTTTGCTACAGGAACAATCATGACAATCTCAAAGGATCGTGTTAAGCCTTCTCCACTTCCTGATAGTTGGAAACTGCAAGAAATTTTTGCACAGGGAGTGGTCATAGGCACGTATCTTGCTTTGATGACCGTGCTCTTCTTCTGGGCTGCCGACAAGACTGACTTTTTTCAGGTGAATTTTCACACCTCTCTTGCTTTGGAAACTGCATTTGTGGAAATATGTGTAAATATCATCTAAGCTGATTTCTTCGGTGTGCGCAGAGGAAATTCCACGTGGAAAGCATACAAAATAACCATGAGAAGCTCACAGCAGCTGTATATCTTCAAGTCAGCATTATCAGTCAGGCTTTGATCTTTGTAACGAGGTCGATGAGCTGGTCTTTTATGGAAAGACCTGGTGTACTCCTCATGGGAGCATTCTTGATAGCTCAAATGGTATTCTCTAACCTAGAATCCAGTCATAAGTTTTTTTCCCACAAAGTGGCGCAAGGATCCCTTCGCACTTCTCGTAACACGTGCAGAAGTCTACAAACATGGTTAGACAAGGTCTATCATTTTACAGGAAGCTAAAGTATCTTTTGAAATTACTAAGAAAAGCGGGATAATGTGGATTCAATTTCCAGGTGGCCACTTTCATATCCGTGTATGCAAATTGGAGTTTTGCTCACATCAAGGGCATTGGCTGGAGATGGGCTGGAGTAATTTGGCTTTACTCCTTCGTCACATACTTCCCCCTTGACATTATCAAATTCGCAATTCGATATATTCTTAGTGGACGGGCATGGTATCTGATGCTTGAGCGTAAGGTAAGAGTTGTGGCAAATTGATATAGCTCACTCACAGCCAAGATGATAAGTTGTTCTTGTGATCACCCTTCCAAGATGCACAACGCATTCAAACAAGGCCACTCAGCGTACCTGTTGGTCTTTCTTCCTTCAATCTATTGTTGGGTGTTTTCAGCGTGGGTGGCATACAGTCTGGTTCTATGAGCAAGTTTCAAATTGTCTCCTGAAGTCTTATTCTCGCGTGACTTTCGCTTGGATAGACTGCCTTCACCCGGAAGAAGAACTTTGGAAGAGAGGATCGAGAAGCCCAATGGGCACGGCAGCAACGAACCCTTCACGGTTTGAGTCCACCTGGAACACAGTCAGGAGCTTCTGCTGATAAGGGGGGCCAACCGGATTTAGCTGGAGAGGCCATGCGACGTGCAGACATGGCGAGGTACAGAAATGATACCCTTCGTACAATTTGTCATATGCTACAATATGGCCAGTAGTGATATACACAGCATGTGAGGCGTGCATTTGCGAGCATAAAAATTGACTGACGGATGAATTCTTGTGTTGGACAGGTTGAGAGAGACGAATGCTTTGAAGGGGCATGTGGAGTCTGTTCTGAAGTTCAAAGGCCTGGATAAGTATGACATCATTAAGGCACAGACTGTGCCTTAAGCCCGAAATGCCATGCTTCCAACAAGCCACTTAACATTCAGAAGGAAAAAGCTTCTGTCGCTTGGGGAATCGAGATCGATGCTTACAGCACATCAAGTTGGCGATCCATAGGTAGGCAACGGCGATGAGAAAGAGACTCCATTCAACCTACGGATTTTTCCCAAGGTAAATAATCCAATCACCTTCTGTCCATAGGTACAAAAAATCACACGGTCTTGTTTAGGATACACAAGGGAGAGACCTTAGCAAAAACAATGCGCGGATAGAGATACGCAGGAGCTTAGAAGCTCAGAGCATCAAATTGGAAAACCAAAAGTTTTGTAGTCATGTTTCATCGTTGAGGAATACAAATCCGAGAAATAAGGACGAGATCATAACACACCGATGGTGGAAGGAGATTTGGAAAGCGCAGGAGCTTAGAAGCTCCAGAGAGGCATCAAATTGGAAAACAAAAGTTTTGTAGCAGGTTTCATCCTTGGAGACAAATTCGAGAAATAACGACGGGAGCACAACACAATGGTGGAAGGAGATTTGGAAACATATGGTCAGCTACTTATATGAGGACTCCTCTAGACGTCCGAGCATTTACTTAAAGTACGTATCTAGTCGCACCCGTATTCATCATAAGAGATAGAAGCGTATTGCATTGGTGGATACCAATGTGTCTCGATGTGATGTCTACAAGTTCCTTCGTGAACACGAAACGTTTTTACCACAATTTGAGTCATCGGTCTGTGTTTTGATTGATAGCTCAAAATTTTGTATCTGACAATGTTTTCAAATCATTTGGTTATTTATGGATATTCCAAGTTTATGGAAGGGGAAGCGAGAAGTATGATTTGCCAAATCTCAGGACAAATCGTACTTAGCTTTGACCACAAAGATATACTAAGTTAGATGGAAACAAAATAATATATTCATGGAAGGAGGAGAAAGAGAAAAGTGAAAATGAAAAGTGAGGTTTACACCTTGAGCACATTTTGATTGATTTCGAGAGCGTTGTAAGATTTATGAACAAATTGATTATAATCTCACAAACTTACTTTGTAGACTTTGTTCTATATTGAAATTTTGTGTTGTTTTAGTTGATTATGAGCATGCATTAATAATTGCAGATTAATACAAAGTCAAAATTGTAAGACTAATCGATTATAAGAAATCCAGGAGCTAATAGCACGTTTAATTACTTCTGACAGCGTTGTACTGTTTTTCAAAAATGTGATTTGACATTTTGAAAATTTACTATTTAGGTTTAATATCAACCTCAAATTATCGTTTATTTGGATTCATTTCTACTGTAGTTGCAATATGATATAAAGTCAAAATTGCAAGTGCTATCAGAGGTTTATTGAAGTAATTATATATTTTCACAATACTTCATTCTTCATATAATATTTGCAAAATATATTTTTGACAATTAAAATTTTGCATCAGTTGATTCAATGATTTGAAAATTTTCAAATCATTGAAAATTATGATGTGTCATGTAGACTTCACGTTGAACATAAATATATAAAGCATTGATTTTTTTAAAATCCGATACAATATGGTATACATAAAGTGCATTCTTCTTAATCAAGTAATTTTTAAATAATCAAAACTAATGCAATGAAAATTAAAGTTTCATATATTACAAGAAACAATCAACATGAAGAAATTTAGAGTAATGGATTGAAAAATTATTTTGAATTTTAAAAAAATATTTTTTCATCATGTCATTTATGACAATCAATTGGATTCATTTTTTCTACTTCCATTAATTTTCAACCATTGTATTCTTCCAATTTCACATTTTTTTTTATTTCATGAAATTGTGATTGTCGTACTAATTCTCATTTAAACTTATATAGTTTGTCAATAGCCGATCATGATTCTAGAGTACAAAGATTTTTCCGTGTCACAAACATATTTTCACATAAATATTTCACTTCTCACTTCAGTCCAATCACTCATCAATAGTCTATGATGATAGTGTAACTCAATCTTCTAATTATGAACCAAATTCTTGCACAATAAATTCTTCACACTTGCTTGAGTCTATTTCACTTTATTTATATTATTTAAAGAATTATCATAATAACACATTGCCATTTTTATCTAATTTTCTTTTACTATGATAAACCTTGATAGATTTAACTAATTTTCATTACTTGTCAATATGAAAGCGAGAACAATCTATCCCCTTACACTTTTCAATGATCTGAACTCTTACAAAAAATTCCTACTTATAACAATGACAAAGAGTATATATTTGAAATTTTTCAAAGTATTGTCAAAAAGGAGGATTTATTCATCATGTCCACACAGTTTTTACTCTACAATGTTTAATCTGATATATTCAATTGAACAACATCAAAAAAAATGTGTGGTATGTTGAGCCAATTTGATTTATCAAATGAATTTTGGGTTGAAATTTTCAAGGCTATTGTTTATTTGGTAAATATTTTTACTCTTTATGCATCAATTTCTTAACATCATCTGAATTGATTCAAAAACGTATGACCAATTACAATTGGTTAAGAATTTTTTATTATAACGTCTATAATTTTATCTAAAGTATAAACAACAAAAGACTTGTCATTGATGTTTGGAAAAATTTGTTTGATGGGATCCCATCAGAACCCTGACTGCTTGATGGGACCCAATAATTCTATTTTACCCGATGGAATCCCTCCAACGGGTCACTGTCAGTTATGTTATTGTAATTGATTTGTTTCCACTTCAATGAAAAAAAATAATTTCTTCCCGAATTTAAGTTAGTCAGATTTTCCATGGCTCCCAATCTTCATCGTGGAAGAGCCCAATTTCTCACGTCCCATAATGATTTTACATTTATAATGTATAGGCATAATCTACTCACTCCTTGCTTTTTTTTTCTAAAACTCTTGGTCGAAATCATGTCACTTGCGTATTTTGGTCCGTGAAGTGCATTTCACTTTTCAACAAAGAGCTTCAGTGCTTTTACTAACTCGGATTGAAAGGAATTACAAGAAATCGCCGTAGAACATCGGTGACGGTGGACTGAATTGCCGTTGGAAGGATCCCATCAGATAAAATGGAACTTCAAGGGTCCTATCAAGCAATAAATGTTTTGATGTGGTCCCATCAAGCAAATTTCTCTTGATGTTTGTCTATGACACAATGTTCAAAAAAAAAATTAAATTAATTTTATCCATGTCACATAATAAACTTGTATCGCAAAATATAATGAATACTTACTACTCATGTGTTTTTGCCTAAAATTTCATACATGAGCCATCTCAACTCAACATTTGGTAAAATTAACTTCATTACATATGATAATGTTTTCTAGCATGCATATATTAGTGTGTTCATATAGTCTTAACATAATTTGCTCACATATCTCAAGCACTCCGATTATAGAGTTCTACGTAACACCTTTTGAATCTAACATTCAAAAAATATCAATTTTTTTCTCATATCAAATAAATTTCACTTGAATCAATGTATGTTGCACTTCATTAAACATAAGAATCTTAATAAATCTAATGATTTTAATCTTACTTTAATCTATCATATTCATAAAAAATGAACTGTCTAATAATGAAATAGTAATAAAAAAATTTCTAATGTAAAAAATACTAATAATGTAAAAATAATTAATTTCTCATTTTGGGTTAATTTTCCTTTGATTTTTTAAAGTAATGAAATAAAACTTGAAACTATCCACGTCCGTCTTGAAACGGTACTGCAACTTTGATTCACAACATTGAGATTTGTTGTGGCATGTATCCGTACATTGATCGGTGTCAAGTGGCAAAAGGATAACGGTAGTGTAGGAGAAAGATGTTTATTATTTCAACTGAGAAGTTACACACTTCTTGGACTGGTTATTTTTGTTTATGTTCTAAAATACTTCAACTCGCTTATTATATGGAACCAAAATGCAAAATGCATGACGCATTTGGTACTAATGCATCACCTCAGTCAATTATTGCGCAAATGCATCATAATGCTTGCTGAGGATCCAGATTATCTTACACTCTTTAGATGGACGTACTTCTTCATTCATATTTTAGTACCTGGGTTTCTTTCTATGAACTTCTTTCCTTTGAACCTAGATCCATCGAGTACATCACATACATGTCCAGCATTGCTCTTTAGATGGACCTACTTCTTGATTCACAATTTAATAACCGGATTTCTTTCTATGAAGTCGTTTACTTTGAACCTAGATCCATCGAGTACATCACATACATGTCCAGCATTGTGTGGATAGCAATTCAATATCTTGTTTCATGAAACATCAACTTCAATTCAACCATCCATTATGTTTCTTTCCATATGTTCAAGGTCCCACACAATGTTCAGATTCATTTCTTCACAAAAAGTTATAATTTCACTACCAGTAAAGATAAAACCTCTTATAAAACTTGATCGTCCGTCATCGCCAATTGTCACAAATTGTCAATCCAAATAGATATAATACTGCTATCTCACAATAGACTGAACACTCTATAAAATTTGTAGAAAAGCAAACGCAATTGACCTTGTGAGCTGAGGAGTCTCCTGTCACTCTTGATGGGTGCAAACCCTAACACACATCAACGTATCTGCAATACACTACCTCCTTGTTGAAAATCATGAAACTGTCATAAGGTTCTTCGAGCACAACCCGTCACAAAATAGACATTTCTGATCATCGAGTCAAGCCATAGTTCATTCCGTCACGTCGTAGAATTTGTAATACCATTTGTAGCGGTAAGCATAATGAGAAATCCATGAACTCAAAAAGATATAGATAAAAGAGAGCACAAAAAAACGTAGCTCCACACTACCAGAATAGGAATCATATGGTTTTATAAGAAGTTTACCTTAAAATATTTTTAGTACACTTTTGGACATCATTCCAACTATGATTTAGCTACCTAAGTTAAATTTAGACATAAGCTAAAACTAATACCTGATTCTATCTATCTGTTTATATATTTTTTTATTTATAATCAATTACATTTTGACTTTAAAGATAATTTAATTTTTTGAAATGAATTAAGTGTCTTTATTTTATTTTAATTTAATTCCTTTAGAATGTAGATTTTTATTTTATTTTTCATTAAAATAATGAAACATTATATAATAGTTTTCATATATGTTTCATTTACTTTGTCAAAATCAGAGTAACTTGCTATATGTCACCAAATTAGAAATACAATTGTTGTGGGAAATAACTAAAAAAATATCTTACTCATAAATGCATAGTAAAATAACTTTTCTCAAACATGGCATGGCTTTAAATATTTTATATTTTTATTAAATAAATAAATTCAAGCTTATTTAAATTATTTTAATAAAATTTTCATATAAATGGTTGTAAAATAATATATTTTTTATTTTTTAATTATTTCAAAATCATGTCTAAAATAATGTCTGTTAAAACTCAAAGTCAATTTTTAATTGAATTTTTTATTAAAATCTGTTAGTTTATTATGTTTTTTATTTGATTATGTGTGCCAAGATATTATTTGATATAAAATTTGAAATTTTTCAATGGAAAATCTATCATTTTTTTATAATAATCATTATACATTAAAAACCTTACACAAAATATCAATAAACATGAATAAATTTTAAAAAACCACATTTCATTTCAATTTTGAGCAGAATAAAGTCAAAAAATTTCAAAAATTTTAATTATACCTAAACTTCATTAGAAGAAAAGTCTTTTTTTTGATGATCATACAACTTTTCATATTTTTCCATCTAAAAAATTCTATATAATGAAAATATAGTCGATAATTTTTTGGTGCAATCTAAAAGCATAAGATTTAGATTTTAAA